GTGCAGGGCTGGATGAACACAGCAGGCCAAGCAGCATCATAGGAGCTCCACCTGGCTAACCTCGTTACAATCACTACATTTAGATACTCTTCATTTCTTGCCCTCGATTCAGTTTCATGCTTATCTCATGATTTCTCCAGACTGCGCTGAATGTGATCTTGCTCTCTAACAGATTTGTGGATGTCATTACACCCCAAATACTGCGGCTGTTCAGGACAACAGCTCTGCACCGCCTTCGCAACAAAATGGACAATAAATGTAGACCCAGTCAGTGACGTCCACATCCCGGGTTTGACTAACACAAAGTGTCAGCCTCAGACTAACCCCACTGTCCTCGATTATGGGCAGATAGCCTGGCGGCAGATTCACTCACAACGAGAACCTCAGAAATGAACACACCCTTCCAGCGGATCTGAGCTGCCTTATCCCCCACACTCCCACCAGATCTGAGCTGCCTTATCCCTCACACACCTTCTGGATCTGGACTGGTTTATCCCCACTCCCACCGGATCTGAACTGGTGGATCCCCCACACTCCCTCTTGATCTGAGCTGGCATATCCCCCACAAACTCTCCAGATCTCCCTGCATCTCTCTTCCTGTCTTTCCTGTTCTGTTCCGGCACCCTCACCCCCTCCCAATGTTGATATTATTCCCTTCATTCAGAGCCTGCATCTAGTGGGCAGAAAAAAAAACAGGACAAAGGGAAATTATGGGAAATTGATGGGATTATGAAAATCCCATTTGATTAGAACATGCAAGCGCAGATTCTGCGATATCTGTACCTGTTGGCAGCTGTCATGACCCTTCAGATCAACAGCATAATGTCGGTGCTTCAAACACAGGCTCAGCTGCAGGAACTAATTGTTACAGTCAGGAATTAAAATTTTCTCTCTTTGAAGGAACAAGCCCAATTACACTGTTTCAGCCCAATTTCCCCACATTCAGCCTGTTAGCTGGCCTTCGCAGTGAATGGTTCAGGGTCAGACCTCATTGTCTGCCTTCCTGAGGAATACTCTCCCAAATGAGAAGATCCTGGGTTAAAGTCACATTCCAGAGATTCGTGGATGTCGGATCGAGGAGTTGCAGATCTAAATGATCTAAAGGTTTGGTTAGCTCCATTGGCTGGATGGCTGGTATGCAACACAAAGAGATACCAATAGTGTGAGTTCGCTTTCCAAAGTGGGGGAGCTGGACATTTCACTGGGTCAGGGTACAGGGAGCTGGACATTTCACTGGGTCAGGGTACAAGGAGTTGGACATTTCACTGGGTCATGGTGAGGAAGCTGGACATTTCACTGGGTCGGGGTACAGGAAGTTGGACATTTCCCTGGGTCAGGGTACAGGGAGCTGGACATTTCACTGGGTCACAGTACAGAGAGCTGGACATTTCACTGGGTCAGGTTGAGACAACTGGATACTTCAGAAATACAGAACGGAGAACAGTACAACACAGGAACCGGCCCTTCAGCCCACTATGTCTAAATTAACCCCATCTGCCCGTACATTGTCCATATCGATCTATTTTGTTCATGTCTCTGTCTAAATGCCTCAACGTTGCTATGGTATCTACTTCTACCACCTCCCCTGAGCGTACGTTCCAGGCACCTACCCATTAGATAGAGGCTTCACTCTCCACTATAGCACCAATGTTGCTGTCATCCACAAATTTACTAACTGGGACCTGAACGGCAACTTTTCCGACAGAGGGTGGGTGCGTATATGGAATGAACTGCCAGAAGAAGTGGTAGAGGCGGGTACAGTATAATATTTTAAAGACATTTGGACAGGTACATGGATAGGAAAGGTTTAGAGGGATAGGGGCCAAATGCAGGCAATTGGGACTAGTTTAATTTGGGAAATCTGGTCGGCATGGACGAGTTGCAATGAAGGATCTGTTTACATAGAAACAGATGACAGGAGCAGGAGGAGGCCATTTGGCCCTTCAAGCCTGCTCCGCCATTCTTCATGACCATGGCTGATCATCCAACTCAATAGTCTAATCCTGCTTTCTCCCCATAACCTTTGACCCCATTCACCCCCAAGTGCTGTATCCAGCCGCCTCTTGAATACATTCAATGTTTTGGCATCAACTACTTCCTGTGGTAATGAATCCCACAGGCTCACCACTCTTTGGGTGAAGAAATGTCTCCTCATCTCCATCCTAAATGGTCTACCCCAAATCCTCAGACTGTGACCCCTGGTTCTGGTTACACCCACCATTGGGAACATCCTCCCTGCATCTACCCTGTCCAGTCCTGTTAGAATTTTATAAGTCTCTATGGGATCCCCCCCTCATTCGTCTGAACTCCAGCGAAAACAATCCTAACCTAGTCAATCTCTCCTCATACATCAGACCCACCATCCCCGGAATCAGCCTGGTAAACCTTCGCTGCACTCTCTCAAGAACAAGAGCATCCTTCCTCAGAAAAGGAGACCAAAACTGTACACGATATTCTAGGTGTGGCCTCACCAAGGCCCTGTATAACTGCAACAACATATCCCTGCTCCTGTACTCAAAACCTCTCGCAATAAAGGCCAACATATCATTTGCCTTCTTTACCACCTGCTGCACCTACATGCTTACCCTCAGCGACTGGTGCACAAGGACACCCAGGTCCCACTGCACACTCCCCTCTCCCAATTTACAGCCATGCAGGTAGGAATCTGCTGCCTTGTTTTCGCTTCCAAAGTGAATAACCTCACATTTATCCAAATTATACTGTATCTGCCATTGATTTGCTCAATCACCCAACCTGTCGAGATCATGTTGAAGGATCTCTGTATCCTCATCACAGTTAACCCTCCCACCCAACTCAGTATCATCTGCAAACTTTGAGATGTTACATTTTCTTCCCTCATCCAAATCCTTTATATAAATTGTGAACAGCACCGATCCCTGTGACACCCCACTATTACTGCCTGCCAATTTGAAAAGGACCCATTAATTCCTACTCTTTGTTTCCTCCCTGCCAATCAGTTTCCTATCCATCTCAATACACTTCCTCCAATCCCGTGAGCTTCAGTCTTGCACAATAATCTCTTATGCGGGACTTTGTCAAACGCTTTTTGAAAGTACAAATATACCACATTGACTGGTCCCCCAATGTCAACTCTACTCGTTATATCTTCATAGAATTCCAACAGATTTGTCAAGCATGATTTCCCCTTCATAAAGCATGCTGACTCTGTCTGATCATGCCACTGCTTTCTAAATGCTCCACTTATAAAGAACTTGATAACAGATTCGAGAATCTTCCCAACTACCGATGTTAGGCTCACTGGCCTATAATTTTCTCTCTGCCTCCCTTTTTGAATATTGGAGTGACATTTGGGGTGGCATGGTGGCTCAGTGGTTAGCACTGCTGCCTCACAGCACCAGGGACCTGGGTTCAATTCCACTCTCGGGCGACTGTCTGTGTGGAGCTTGCACATTCTCCCTGTGTCCGTGTGGGTTTCCTCCGGGTGCTCCGGTTTCCTCCCACAGTCCAAAGATGTACAGGCTAGGTGGATTGGCCGTGCTAAATTGCCTGTAGTGTTCGGGGATGGGTCTGGGTGGGATGCTCCGAGGGTCGGTGTGGACTTGTTGGGCCAAAGGGCCTGTTTCCACACTGTAGGGATTCTATTAGCTACCCTTCAATCTGCAGGGACTTTTCCAGAGTCTATAAGAATCCTGGAAGATGGCCACCAGTGCATCCAGTATATCCATGCTGTATGGTTCTATAACCGGGAGGTTGGAAGTTGAGTGAATTCTCAATTAATTCTATGTAATTGAATGTATTAAAAGAGTGAACAATAGCAAATAGATGGAAGAAAGCTGTGATTTAGGGAGTGTGGATTCAGAGAAATGAAATATTGTAAATAACAGAGAATGACCCTAACTGTGAAACCTCTTGGTGAGTCTGTGAGGAAGTTAAAATGTTTTCAATGTGCTCTGAGAGGCCGGTTCCCTCAGTAAGGAAAGTAGACTGTTTTATTAGAGAGGGAGAGACAGAAACGCATACAAACTCGCACACGCAAACGCGCACACAGACATATACACACGCACGGATACACAGACAAGCACACACGCAGAGACAGACATGCGTACACACTCACACTCGCACAAAGACACACCGATACACATACACGTGTACGTATGTGTGCATACATGCACACAGTAATGCATGCGCAAACATATACATGCACAGACACACATGTAAAAGTGCATGCACATGCACAGTCACAGAGACACGTGCAAACACACGAACACACAGACACACACGTGCAAACACACACAAACACAATCACACATACACATACACAAAAACAGGCACACAGACACACCCATGCACAGACACAATCCTCAATCTCCCTCCCTGCCCATTCACCATGGAACCAGTCAGCAACAAGAGGAGGCCATTCAGCCCATTGTGCCCATGCAAGCTCTTTGAAATTTGTCCAAAAGTCCCCGCCCTTCTCTCCTCCATCCACCAGCCTGTAAATATTTCATATCCTTACAACACCATGGGCACCCTACAGCAAGAAGGCAGCTAACTAGCTCCTTTTTCAGGGACCATTAGGGTTGGGTAATAAACACTGGCACAGCCAGCGACGCCCACCTCCCGGGAGAGACCATATCGATTTTAAAAAATGTCAAGAATTCGTCCAAATTCCTTCTGAAAGTTCCTGTTGAATCTGCTCCCACCGCCCTTTCAGGCAGCGCGTTCCAGATCACAGCAACTCCTCACTGCATGGAAAAAAACATTCTCTTCCTCGCCCCGCTCTGGGATTTTCCCATCGCTAATTATCTCTCATCCTCCTCATTAAACCATCTGTGCTCCTTGGCCAAACCCACGCCCTCATTCATCAGCCTCAAAAACAAAAAGGAACACTAAGATTCGTTTCTATTCCATCAGAGACAGAGAGAGAAAGCTCCTTTTTTTCTAAATCAGAAGGGAGTGCTGGTTGAAGGGCAAGTGAATGATTTGCTGTGGGCAGCGAGAGTGTTTTCTGTACGTACCTGACAGGGTGGTGTCTCCCGCAGCCAGCCCAGGGTTTCTGTGCGCTTCTGTTCAGTCTCAGTGAGAGTAGGCACCTTCATCCACACTCTCTGCCTCAGCTTCCAGTCTGCCCATTTGCTCGTGACATCATCACTCCCTGGCAATTAAACCCCACCAGCCTCAATAAAAGCAGGCGATTCACAGCAACAACAACAGCAAAGGCACTGCATTCATATAGCAGCCCTTTGGCCTGGCAAAGGCCGGGGTGTGAAGGGAGTGAGCCAGGAGATTAGGAGGCTCAAAGGAACAGAGGGATCTTAAGGAGCTTGTCCCTGTGCCGGAAGGACAGGTTCTTAGAATAATTAACAAGGCATACAGGATGCCTACCTTTAACAGTTGAGGCATAGATTGTAAGAGCAAGGTGGTTGTGTTGGAGCTGTACAGAGCTTTGGATAGGCCACAGCTGGAGTACTGTGTGCAGCTCTGGTCACCATACTATAGGAAAAACATGATTGCAATGGAGGGGGTGCAGAGGAAATTCACCAGGATGTTGCCTGTGATGAAGCATTTCAGCTATGAAGAGGTTGGGTAAGTTCAAGTTGTTTTCTTTAAAGTAAAGAACATTGAGGTGGGGGTGGGACAGTTCCTGACAAAGGTGTCATAGGATTATGATGGGCAAGGACAGGATTAGTAGAAAGCAGCTGTTCCCCTTAGTCTAGGGGTCAGTAACAAAGGGATGTCATTTTAAAGTGAAAGGCAGGAGGTTTAGAGGGGATTTGAGGTAACCTGAATCACCCAGAGGAGGTGTGGGGATCTGGAATGCACTGCCTGGAGGACAGTTGAGGCGGTAAAGCTCAGAACCTTTAAAAAGTACTTGGATGAACTCTTAAAGTGTCATAACATTCATGTGGGCCTAATGCGAGAAAGTGGGACTAGTGTAGATTTGGTATATTTTTAGCAGTACAGACTTGATGGGCCGAACAGCCTCTTTTGTATTGTATGATTCTATGATTTTAATAGTTACAGCACAGATGAAGGCCATTCAGCCCATTGTGTCTGCCCCATTAGTTCTCTGAACAAGCATCTCACAGCTCCTGCATATTTGTCCTCCTTGGAGAGCAATTATTTTTTGGTGTAACTAAACCTGAAACTAAAGGATCATCAGAATTTTTTTATTTGCTTGTGGGATGTGGGCCTTACCAGCTGGGCACAGTATTTATTCCCCATCCCAACTGCCCCTTGAGAAGGTGGGGGTGTGCTGCCTTCTTGAACCACTGCAGTCCATGTATTGTGGATGACTCACAACGCCCTTAGGGGACAGAATTCCAGGATTTTGACCCAGTGACAGTGAATGAATGGCAACATATTCCTAAATCATTATGGTAAGTGGCTTGGAGAGGGACTTGCTGGTCATGATATTGCCATGTATCTGCTGCTCTTGTCCTTCTAGGTGGAAGTTTGGTTTCGGAAGGTACTGTCTGAGGATCTCTGGTGAATTTCTGTCTTGTAGATAGTACACACTGCGGCTACTGAGCGTCAGCGGTGGAGGGTGTTAACATTTGTGGATATGGTGCCAATCAAGTGAGCGCTTTGTCCTATATGGTATCAAACTTTTTGAGTGTTGGAGCTGCCCCCATCCAGGCAAGTAGGGAGTATTCCATCACACTCTTGACTTGTGCCTTGTAGATGGTGGACAGGCTTTGGGGAGTCACATGACAAAGGATCAGAATTAGGCCATTCAACCTATCGAGTCTGCTCTGCCATTCGATCTATTTCTCAACTGCATTCTCCTGTCTTCTCTCCATAACATTTAATTTCCCTTAATGATCAAGAAACTATCTATCTCTGTCTTAAAGACACTCAATGACTTGGCCTCCACAGCCCTCTGCAGCAATGAGTTCAGCGGATTCACCCCCCTCTGGCTGAATAAATTCCTCCTCATCTCAGTTCTAAAGGCTTGTCCCTTTGCTCTGAGGCTGTGCCCTTGGGTCCTAGTTTCTCCTACTCGTGGAAACATCTTCTCCATGTCCAGTCTATCCAGGCCTCTCAGTATTCTGCTCTGAAGGCTGATGTAAAGTCTTTATTCAACTCCTCTGCCATTTTCTGATTCCCCTTATTAGAACAATACAGCACAGGAACAGGCCCTGCAGCATTCCAACTCTGTGCTAACACTTTTGCCCTTCCATAATAAAACAGTCTTCACTTACAGGATCCATATCCCTCTATTCCCTTCCTATTCATGTATTCGTCCAGGTGCTTCTTGAATGTTGGTATTGTGTCTGCTTCCTCCATCTCCTTTGGCAACATGTTCCAGGCACTCACCACCCTCTGTGTGAAAAACCTGCCTCGCACATCTCTTTTAAACTTCCCCCGGCACCTTGAACCTGTGTCCCCTAGTAACTGACCCCTCCACCCTGGGAACAAGCCTTACACTTTCCACTCTATCCATGCCATTCACAATCTTATAAACTTCTGTCAGGTCGCTCCTCAGCCTGCTGCGTTCCACTGAAAACAAACGCAATCTATCCAACCATTCTTCACAGCTAAAATCCCCCACTTCAGGCAACATCCTGGTAAACCTTTTCTGTACCCTCTCCAAAGCATCCACATCCTTCTGGTAGTGTGGTGACCAAAACAGGACACAATATTCCAAGTTAACAAGGTGTAGAGCTGGATGAACACAGCAGGCCAAGCAGCATCAGAGGAGCAGGAAGGCTGATGTTTCGGGCCTAGACCCTTTTCAGAAATGCTTGGCCTGCTGTGTTCATCCAGCTCTACACCTTGTTGTCTCAGATTCTCCAGCATCTGCAGTTCCTACTATCTCTGAAGCAATATTTCAAGTGTGGCCTAACTAAGGTTCTATTAAGCTGCAGCATAATGTGCTCATCCTTATAATCAGTGACCCTTCCAATGAAGGCAAACATGTCCTGCTCCTATGATGCTGCTTGGCCTGTTGTGTTCATCCAGCTCCACACCTTGTTATCTCAAACGTGCCATAAGCCTTTTTTACTACATTATCTACCTGCACGGCCACCTTCAGTGATCAGTGGACCTGCACACCCAGATCCCTCTGCGTATCAATACTCCTAAGGGTTCTGCCATTCACTGTATAATTTCCACCTGTACTTGACCTTCCAAAATGCACCAGCGGTGGATTCATGGCGGCAGCAGAGTTGAGTTTGGGCTGGTGAGGTACACGCTGGCATCTGTATTGGTGAAGTCCAGCGAAGACTCGGGGGCTGAGGGTGTTGGTGGAGGCAAAGCAGGGCTGAAACGTGGCAACTTTTGTTCCAGCGGCAGCAGCACAGCAAAGGGGACTCGTGCCTGGCCACCAGGCTCATGACGGAGCACGAAACAAGAAGGACTGCAAAGTTGCACACTTTCTTTATTCCTTCATTTTTCTGCCCCTATATTTTATGATTTGGTTTACTTTTCTGTGATTTAAGATGGCACCGAAGAGTGGCGACACTGTGCAACATTTATCACTGTAATTTGTGACAAGGTACACATGACAATAAATAAATCAAATCCTGGTCTTATGGTCTAAGAGACTAATGGTATTCCAAACAGTATTAATTCATTCATTCGTGCTCTAAAGGAGCAGGTACAATAATTATCACTGGAGATAAACAGCCAGGGAAACTGATGGGGCTAAAGACTCAGAAATTTCCCAGATTTGACATGATACATCTTAATTCCTCCACACCGCAGGGGGGCGATGCTTGTGGAGCGTGTAATTGATCCTCCAGGCCTCAAGGAAGCAATGGCCCTGGAGGCTGTGATGGGTCCTTCAGACAGCAGGGGGCGATGGCCGGGGAGGCTGCGATGAGTCCTCCAGGCCTCAGGGAGGCGATGGCTGGGGAGGCTGCGATGGGTCCTCCAGGCAGTCGGGGGCGATGCCAGGGGAGGTTGTGAGGGGACGGCCGGGCAGCAGGGGGAGATGGCAAGG